GTATTTTATCGTCTTTCTTTTATAACCATTGTAATTTGAGGTAGTCTGCATCTTATGAGTACCTGCGAAATAGAATGACGTCATTTTGCACTACGAATTCGGTCTATCTTGCTTTATTTATATTTATCAGGGGAGCAATATTTATGAGATCCAGAATGTAGTATATATTTATACATGTGTATATAAAATATATATGTATATAATTACCAGTGATGCTGGTTTGTGGTGAGAATTACTTCTAAATAAAAATCCTACGTCCACCTACCTTGAACTAAAAATATGAACCATGCCCAGGCATTTAGTTGCGTTGCGTTGGGCCAGAAATGATGTGACTGGACATGATACGAGCAACCGAAATATTAAGGGTTAGAAGATCAATTATTTTATGGGATAAGTGGACGAATATTCTTAGGAAAAAGAGGAAGAAGTTTAAAGTTTGGGACAGAAACAGCTTTAATCAGAAAACAAAACATGTCTGTATAATTGGTTGCGTAAGTGTGAAAATAATATTAGTATCAAGAAGAGGAAGATGATTGACGTCTGGATGGAAAATAGAAATTTTCCGTTTATCATAAATACAATGGTAGTGCATGGTCTACAGAATACCGTTTCTGTATACACAGAATTGATTGTAATGTTTTGATAGCAAATGTCTTGACAAAACGTAGCAGGCTTGAATTCTTTTGCCCATTGATTATTTTGAGTGACTTTAAACTGTCAACAATGACTGATGCCTTATAGATGACACCAAATCACACTGCTTGGTGTCCGTGAATCCCTTAGTCTCAGGTTATTTTCTGTATTCAGTGAAATGAGGACAATTACCTTTAGGTCTGTTCCTTCTGTGTAATTGCTTTGGCATGTACGTGTATATTGGTAGATAAATTTGGAAGTAATACAAGATGGAAATTTGTTCATTCCTAATTTTCATAAACAACTGCTTATTTGATATGCACATAATAGCTCAAAGGCAAGCTTTACTGTGCTGAAATCCATATTTCCCACACTGCATTTTCTATATTTGGCGATTAGTTTCTGAGGATACCCATTATCACGTAGGAATGAGATCGGAATAGGTGCGTATCACCAACCCCTTTAGTAACTTAATCTTTTAAACTTCAGATAAAGTGCCATCCATGTCTTTTTTCCATATATCAATCTTACAGTTTTGTTATGTCACTTTAGATACTTAGGTCGAGGGAACGCATCTTGTAATCACGTTTATGTTTCATAGGAAACTTTATGTTAAGGTGAGTACTATTCAGAAGATTTATTATTTGCACAGTTACATTACTTGACATCAGGCGAACAAATCATTTATGTGACGTTTTGTTTTAGTACGTTGTTGTATATGTAAACTTTATTTACTTTTCTAACGAAAAAAACGAATTCTGAAGAGACTTAAAATATCATTTTGTTTTCCCTTTAGTGTTTTGATGCAAATAACCAAGATTTTGAGGTAAATTGACCTAAAATAAATAATATTGACTTAGTAAAGTTTGTAGCTTACTGATAAGAGGTTTGTTAAAATATTTACACAACACATTTTTACATCCTATGAGTGTACATATATAACTATCTAGTGAATACAAAAACCCCAGTACACATATGTGTAACTAAAACAGAAAATACTTTTGATACGTTGTCTTGTGTATAGAAGTAAAGAATAACAGTGTATTAAGTGTTTTTTTAGTATAATTGGCGCTTTTACTTATTTCATTACAGTGAAACATCTAATAGATTATTAAAACAAGAACATTCATATCTTTGGTATTAGAGATATTGAAAACGGTTATTAAATGTGATTTATCATCATAAATTTAGTTCTAACTCGCTTATAGATTTCAGACAAGATTAGTCGAATTCTATAAATTTCTAAACAAAAGAGATTTTCATATTGCTTTGTCTGAATTTACCGCCCGCCTACAGAAAGCAAATACGTATTTCAACGTCATATATATATACAAATATATCGCTTACTGTGGTTGAATGACAATAGACGTGCCTGATACACAATGAAATAGTGATTAGGTTATTTGTTTTTCTGTTCATTTGAAAATGTCAATGATGCAACCGTTAGTTTACCATAGTTGCATACATCGCTCAGTGAAAGATGTGCTAATGTATAAACCTTTTTTAATGATTGTTATCCGAAAACTTATATAAATTGGTAGGCTGTTTTTGTCTCTACAATAATACAATACAATAATAAAGTACATTTACAAGAATAACTTTATTCTCATCTTATTTGCAATGAATTCTCGTAAACGACTTTAAAACATAAGAAAAGATGATATATTATAGACGAGATTTTCCATAAATACTAAAATGATTTCTCATTTCCTTATGCATGAGACTATTAATGGTTTGTACTGCAGGTCTATATTTTTATTTATTTGTTATTTCATCCCTTTCCGTCCCCAGTGGAACATAGGGCATTAAGCTTGATCTTTATAGTTTTAGTAGCTGGGGTGTTTATTTTTCACAGAGTGGGGTCGCTAACCTCACTCCAAACCTTCTGTCTTTGTTGAACCTACTACCAACTAAGCAAGGTTAGAAGTAGGTTGGCTGAGGATCGAACTCTAGATGACGTTAGTGGTTGGCAGATATTTACCACTGAACTATCTATCGATGCACGATTCGGGTTTGAAGCACTGAAAATAGTCTCTATTAATTTGCTGCTAATCATACAGGAAAACTGAGATAATGTCTTTTGTGAACTACATGTTTATTTGTTAAACACTATCCGTGACGTTTATCAACAACAGCATACCTTTAGCTGTGAATCAATGAACAAGGTATTAACTGTTAGCCAAAATGTAAATTTAAACTTTAATATGCCTACCAGTTCCGTTATTAGCGAAGTTGTTGCACTTAATTTATAATTTATGACAGAATAACATGTATATACCTATACCATTTGTATTAAACTGTGTTAAATCCCGGACACATTTTTCTTAGGTAAAATAGGCCAAAGGTAAGAAATATATATTTAGTGAATCCTAATTGACTATACAACCAATACACAATTTTTTTTGGAATTGTTAAAAGTGAAGTTGGCTTGGACATTTATAAAGTGAAATTTTTTAACCCAGAAATGCATAAAAGCCACAAGAAGCTCATTTACTAAATAAATATTCTTCGTTTAAAAATATGCTACAGATGTTTAAATGCCAATTGCTTTCTAATGACAGACAGAAAAGTTGATTGTATAGCAGCCAAAAGGTAAATATAGTAAGGACAGTGACCTTAGTTCAGTGTACTTTGTTACTAACCTTTCAAAGGAAAATATAAAAGACATGTGACAACCTTTTAAAATGTCGATATTATTTAGCCAGTGTTTAAAATTAACCTGCATCAGTACTTCTGTGAAGTAATTAGACCCACATTTATTCACATATGAATATTTACAACCACTTTCACTTTCAGAAATGGTTAGTGAATAAGACTCACATAAAGTGACTAATAAGCTGCTGGAAGATTTACTCTGAACCGTTATTATTTACGAAAAAATGGTACCGGTTATAGTTCGGGTTTTAGATTTTGTAGGGGAATTAATTTCACTGCTGCTCTTGTCTCAAACCGTAAATAATGAGATAATCGTTGAAAATCTAAGAACAACAGAAAGTTATTTCATCATGTTTTCGGACACTTCATCAGTGCTCATCAACAAAACCATCAGGATTCGAACTCAGTACCTTTAAGTTTACGAGACAAGCACATTCAGCATTCACTTACATAGGTTTAGAATCAGATGACTAGTGAATTCTAACTCCTGTCAATCGTAATATAGCACCATATTCAGGCACTGTCACTGATGAGCACCTGCCTTGCAGCTGACTCACCAGAACCCATCGGCAACGAAGTCTTATTAGTCACTAACATCTGTCCAACACTCCTTGGTTCTTAATGGATTTATCACTGGTTTTTTAAATGTGATGAAACAGGCACTAAAGTGATAGAATTTTTGTATTTTACTCAGATGCTTACTGGAATTTACATGTGATGGACAAGTAATAATTAAATATTACATAATGGTAATCTGAGGTGAATGTCTCATCAATGGGTGAATTTGTCTTACGAATTAATTATAAAATTTCGGTACTGTGTTACCGTAATTCCTTATAAGGAATCATTTACTTGCTTCAAAACATAAGGATGCAGTATTACCGACTGGAAGACTTTCAGAGTACAGTTTATGGACCATTATGGTACAGTATTAAATGCAACAGTGGTTATTGGTGGTAAATTAGGCTCAAAACAGAAGATAGCTATATTCTCTACGTCGGCTTTTGTGCCTTCAAGTATTAGTAAACGAATATAGACTTGATGGACCATTTAAACTGTGCTTCATCAAACTTTGCAAACTGACTTATTAAAATAAATAGGTTTAGAAAACACAAGCTTATAACAAAGAATTCTCAGTGAAATAACTTTCCTACACCTCTGTGTAAGTTCATTTTACAATGTAGAGTAATGCACCTGGCTGTCATTCGTCGTGTAGAGATGAATGTAATGTTTACGTATAGTTTTCAGTCTTTTGGCAACTGGCTTCCACCTGCAATTGTCGTCATCTTATTTCACCTAACAATAATGGTTGCTCTTTACTCGGTGGATTGACGCTGATCTTAGTGTTTTTGATTCATTATTGAATCAGACTTTTGTTGGATAATTCCTTAGGACGCGATTAATAACAGTATTCCTTAGGGTTCGTAGAATGCTACGCAAATAAAGGTAACATTCACGAATCTGAGGTAAAAAAATTCAGTAAACTGATGTTGTGTTTTTTTTTCTGTAACGATGGTACGCTGTGTAACACAATGCGTTATAAGGTAAAGGGACAATAAGATTATATTTTGTGGCATATTATCTATTCCACTTAATTTAGGTATAAAAATTAATCTACCAATCAGAAAACAAACTATGCCTATCAAGTACATTTGTTTATTACCAATCACTTCACAGCAGTGAATCAATTATTTATTTATTTATAAGCATGAATACGGAATGCATATTTATCCTTTCTTAAAGCTCTAAATGAAAGTGGACAATTAATGATGAATAAACTGGCTTATAGTCAGTAATGTGAAAATTCCAGAATGCCCGACAAAATCATGCAAGAATAAGAAATAATGGCAAATACTACAAAATATCTTTTACCTGGAACAAATGACAATATGATACCATTTGGCAATCAGTTAGCACCATCGTCATGTATCATGTATGAATTAAGCTCAATTAATCGTAATCCATCGGTGAATGAAACAAACCCATTGAAACGGCATTTATCAGTTCGTGTTAGAATTTATCACTACTGTGTATTATTCACTTCAGTGTTCGGTTTAATTAGTATATCAACAGCTTCTGTGATATTTTATTTACATACGGGTTACAATTTAAATCAAGAAAGATATCAAGTGAATATAGTCCAGATGTCAAAGGATGTTAGAGAATTCTTTACATATGCCAAATGGATTTCCCTTTGTATATTTTGTTTTGGATTATTATTATTATGCATAAGTATTATCCTTTGTTATTTTCATAAATCGTTTACCAGTAGTTCTTCATCTATTAGACATGATCATCAACGAATAAGTACAAACACAAGTAATATACAAGCGCCAACAATAGTTCATAACACTAGTAATAACAGCAGTAATCACTGCCTTATATCAGTATCAACCAGCCAAGTATAACTTATAGCAAATTTAATGGAGAACAACTGGAGCACACGTTAATGATTCCAGTATTACTTTGTTTTCTTAGATGGATGTTTTGATTGTGAAACCTTCGTATTCATTCTGGACGAAGTGAATAACATCAAGTTATAATAAAAGTGAAGTTCCCAAATTTCCATTAGGTGCAATAAGAATCCTTCGTAACTATCTTGATAAGAACATTGGAGATTTTATTACCATCTTCATTCATATTTTGCTAAACTTACATTTGACCTCTTGACCACGCAGATATATACATATAAGCTTTGACACATGTACACATCAGAACAGGATTCGAAGTTTTCTGTATTTTGAAACTTATGGAAAAGTCACTGTTATTCGATTAGTGCGATATTTCGGCGTCTAGAAGTCGATTTGTGGATGTATAATGATGTAAATATGTAAATAAATGTTTTACTTTCTGATGTGAAATTGTTTGTTATTGAGGACTACTGACTTACGGAAACCGTCCACTATATGGAATGTTCTACTTTTTAAATCTTGTCCATTTAACAACAGTCTTGAGCAAGGTAAGCTTCAATTTTTTTGTCAAACCCTACAGTATTCATAGCAGCTCATTATCTCTTTAAATTATTTGAAAAGTGACCTTAGACTCAAACTCTAATAGCCTGTAGATATTTCTTAGTTAGATATCCGACAGATATTATATCATCGAAGCCATCTCATTCACAATCCCAGTAGGTGTTGTATTTGCATTGGAATTATTATTGTATTATTATTTCCTTTAATTCCTAGAGAAACATAGGGCTCCAGCGGCGCGTCTCCATTGCGTTCGGTTCTCTGCTAGAGTTTTCACCTGGCTCCAAGTCTGCCCACATGCTTTCATCTCCTCTTCACATGACCTCCTCCAAGTCACCCTCGCACTGACGACCAACTCGCTGCTTCCCTTTTGGGTTCCACTCAAGGGCTTGTCTAGTGATGTCACTTGATGGTTTCCTCAGAGTATGGCCAATCCACCTCCATTTCTTCCTGCATATTTGTTGCACAATCGGTTCCTGGTTAGTTTGCTCCCAGAGATCCCTGTTGCTGATCTTTTCTGGCCATCTGATCTTGAGTATTGAGCGAAGACGGCTGTTAATGAATACTGCATTGGAATAGTCGCTTTTTAATCAATCAGCCTGAATTTAAATGAAGGACAATTCCATCACAAATACGAAGGTTGTTACTTCTACTGGCAGAGTTATTTCAGTCAGGTTTACCATACTTTTTGCTGATTGTTCTAACGCGTTCTTAGTTGTTCGTGATAGAATTAACTGGAAATTTTAGTTGGTAGTGGTTAAAGTTAGAGAATTTTTCAGCTGTGTGAACAGCATGGTTCCATAGAAGATACTTGGTTTGTTTACACAAGTATTAACTCAGCAGATATATCAACTGTCTTCCATTGCTTGTATATCTTTTATTGTGAACCCCTATGGAAAGGTATAAGAATCATTTAAATGTAATAAATGAACGATGGGACTTAAGTTTACTTAACAGCTGCTTTCCAATATAATCAAACTGGGGATAACTGATGCTCAGCTATAATGATAAAAAATAAGGGTTTAGCCCTACTTAATAAGTATACTAATCGAACGCTTAGGCTATAATGAGGAAGTCCGAATTCTCGACCATTTTTAACTTATTATAAGTGAAGGAGATGATTAGGGACAGTGAAATGAAGACAGGCCTGAGCAGAATTCAAAACATCGTCCTTTGAATTGTCAGTAAGGTGCCCTCTGAATAGTATCCTACTGTTAATATGGTCTCCATTCCACTAGCAGTCATTACTCACAACATCGTCAACAGTTTGCTGATCCAAACCTTTCTCAAACAGTTTCAATGTCAAGTATCAGTAGTGGATAAAGCATAATATTTTCCACTTCATGTATCCTAAGGAATTTTCTTTCTTTTCATACAAATTTATATGTTATATCTACATAGATATTATGTATCTTCATAATATTTCATAGTGAAATAATATACACTCTAAAGTAAACTTGACTGCTGAAAATCTATTAAGCGAAGCAGATGTAGTTATCTAAAAACAACAATATATGTAATCTTAAACTCTACTTCTATTTTCGAGTGAGTTTATTTATATATCAGATTAGAATTCACCTACCTCTCGCCTCATCAAAAGAATTCAGCATTTTGGGAGATATAGGAGTAGAAATTCACTTTATAGTTACTCTATGACTACACACGACAAAACTGACCACCAATATTTAGCCTTAGGTTATTTTCAGCTATAGATTACATCTCAGCGGCAAAGTTATTGTACAAATTAGGACAAAGAAGCATGATGATTTTTTTCAATAGTTTTAATGTATGCTAATTAATAAGAAGAAAGTGTTTAATAAAGAATTTTAGATATAGGACCGATGATTACTATACAATATTTGTTATCATCTTCGGAATACGTTTTTGATCTTCAGGTTCCTAGAATTACAGCATATTGTTGTATAAGTAATCTGTGCCTTTCGGGAAGATAAAATCTTTTGAAAATCCGTTTCCAATTATGTTCCACTCCCTACTGAATAATCAACGTACATATATAGACAAGTATGTAAGAACTTCTGTGTTCGTTATAAGAAATCAAATCTTGTGCATAGTAGTTTTCCTAGACTTTTGACTCAATAGCTTCCATCTGTAAATGTAAACTGGTGAGCACATCCCCAGATGGTGAGGTTCAAAAGCTTATCCACATTCATTTGGGAGTTTCAGAACAAGGAGGATAATATTACGGCTGAAAATACAGCTAAACACAACAATCTAGATCACCTTCTCTCTCTGTTATCTAATAGACAACTTAAAATTTACTCCCAAGAATGATTACATAGGCTTTCAAGCTACTACTGTATTCTTGCAGCCTTCTGACATCTTTACGACATTTTTCAGATATTTTTGAGTTATATACAGTCTCTATTCTCTTTTGTTTAATGCAGAGTGCCCAAACAAAGATTACAAAGGCTTAGACATTGAATACACAGTGTAGTTTTGCGTCTGTCTATTTTTTTATCTAAACTATTTCCTCTTTATGTCATGAATAAGTCTAGAAACTTCATTTGCCTTAATTTTTGTGTTCCACAATATAGCTTATATCATCAAGGATATTACAAGGAGTTTGGGTCATGTTTAACTCGTTAACAAAGGCTGTTCTCAGCATAAAGCCTTAAAATTTCAGGTAACAATCATTTAGTATTGTTATTTCTAGGTATAAAATATTAATGCCTGTCGGTTTTAGGAGAATTTTCATTTCTAATTCACTGAATGCCAATGGGTTAGAATCTCACATACGAAGCGTATGTAAGCACAGAAACTCAGCTTACCTTTGACCTTCTCTGTATCGGCATATTATCAGTAGTTTGATGAGCAAATATATTCGAAAAGAAGGTCTCGCCTTTCTAAATCGCCAGTTCACTCAGTACATTCGAACTTTTGCTTACTTTAATAAATTCAAACGTGTTTTGCTAGGCTATTTTTATCAGTCAGTCGCACATTTACGTACAAGTTACATAAAAAACCCACTGTGCTGCTTAAGTTAAAAAGATAATGTAAACATTACAATAGTAAGTAATCGGTTAATATATTTTTAAGTTTAACCAATAGATACTTTTGTCGACGAACTTTTGAATATGTCTCAGCTCAGATTATGTTGCCCTATTATTTTTTCCTTCACGTTACTCAGTTGAACGTAGGGCTTCAAGCTAGAGGCTTGAAGTTTCTGTTGCAGTGTTTAATTTACAGGATGGCGTTGTTAGCCTCATGCCCAACCTTTCCTCTTTACCATCGTTATTTCTGGCTTAGTGAGGTGAAGGAGTGCATCGGCCGGGGTTCGAACCCCGGACTATGTGCATGGTCGGTGAGCGTCCTAACCGCTATACCACCGACGCACTATATGTTGCCCTATTTATATACGTATAATCTGGAAACGTTTCACCAGCGTAAACATAATTTGCCCTAATCAAATCATTTATTTTATTGTCTTCATATTTCTGAGAATTAGGAAGTTAAATTCAATACATGGCTTAAAATGAAACGAATCTTATATGAATTATTCAGTGTGAATAAATCCACAAAATGTTAGAAACAGTCCATAAGAAGTCATAAACCCAAGTCTTCAGCTCTAGGATAGTTTCTGCAGAATATTTTTATTTAGTTTCTACAATAAAAAAAGCGAATTCGTCAGTTTACATTTCAGAAATTAGTGCTCTTTTAACAAAAGTAATACGTATTTCATTTATTTTCTATTAAATTATCAACAATTTACGTTTTTTATCATCATGATCTTCAACCTTAAATTTATATGAAATAAATTTACACAAATCACATTGAAATCCATTAGTGTAAGATTAGAAACCGCAATAGATATTAGTTGCAAAAAATTGAGTTGATGAGAGAGCGTTTACAGCAAAATAAAAGCGAACATGACTCAGTATTATGATGTGGAAATGATTGCACTCTTACTGACTAGGATCTGATAACAGCAGTACAATTGTAAGTGGTCATAAGAATAACTTTACTTTGACTAGAAGTAAATGACAGTTACCAGAACCTAAACCTCTTACAATGAACAATATAACGATATTTCTAAGTATTAGTTTTGTAGCGATTTTGTTTGATTGGTTCGAGGATTTCATGAGATGACATCAGTTAGAGAACCATTGGAAAACCTGGGAGTACTGGACAGCTGTTTCTTCCCAATTCATTACTCTTCATCACTACGCACACACATGGGGGGTTTGAGCCCAGGACCTTCTGGTTACAAAGTGAGCTCGTAGACTATTAAGCCACCGGGACCAAATCCAGTTGCCGGTCCATGAATTCTAACTTCTGCCAATTCATGACATAGCGTGACCACTTCGCAATGTCTTCTTTGATGAGTTACCGCCTGAATTGGCAGAATTTAGAATTCATGGATTGGAGATGGGATCGAGTCCCAGTGGCTTAATGGTCTACGAGCTCGCCTTGTAACCAGAAGGTCCTGGGTTCGAAATCCCTATGTGGGTGTCCACCACTAAGGAGTCCCAAATTAGGAAGAAACAGCTGTCCAGTACTTCCAGTTTTTCCAATGGTTCTCTAACTAATGTCAGCTCATAATGAAATCCTCTAGCCAATATTATTATTATTGTTCCCTTGGGTTCCTAGTGGAACATAGGGCTTCAACTGCACGTCTCCACTTGCTTCTGTCTTCTGTTGTACTTTTCACCTGCATCCATGTTAGTTCATACTGTTTCAACTCTTCTTCACACGATCTCCTCCATGTCATCCTTGGACGTCCCACTCGCC